ATTTATATATATATATATATATATACACATATATACTGAATTGCAACATGTCTTTGCGGCAATACAACCATATATGTATATACGTTCAAGCCTACAGGCAGTCGCACACCACTAAATCAAGGTTTTAATATACAAATACTAATTACTTAAACCTGTCGATAATAAAACGTGCAATCGCGATTCATATATATATATCCACGCCAAGTCATTGAACTGTGTGGTTTAAAGTGATTACTCAAAAAATTACTTAAAAAAAAAAAAGAGAGAAAAAGAAATATATACGTATTTATGCACCTAAAGAGCTGGGATGCCACCAAATATTTGATCTAGCGTGAACAATACTCTAAAAGTTACTGGGAAACCTTTCATTGAACAATGATCGGAATTACTTTCGGTCTATGTAAGATTGTGCATAACAATCATTATATCATAAAGCTAATCTCTGCAAATGACAAGTTTCCTAATGTGCACAAAGAGCAGCATAGTCGAGACGGAGTGTAATTGTAAAAATATTTTAAATCGACACACACGGGAAAGATAGCGATAAATGTATGTATGTATGTATAGGAATCGACAGATTCTGTTGTGTCGGTTCGACTTTCATACTACACATTGCTTTCTATTCGTTTGAAAGTAATGCTCGGTATATCATATACGGTATCGTTCTAAAAAAAGAACTGGATATCCGTAAAGATCGATCTAGCGACTCACCCGTATTTTCTAACAGTGTTTTCGGCGTGTCCGGTCGATTAATGATTTCGATGAGCTGCGCCAAAATTAATGGGATGTACGCGCTTGTGTCAGGACCTGTAAAAGACAAACAAAATAAGTAAGTTTCATTTATTCTCCAGAAAAATGTTGCTTTCAATATTTACCGAGTTTTATCGAAATTTCACCGATCGCCCATGTCGCATTGTTACATACTGATATAAACTGCGGATGCAAGTTTTGTCCAAGTATTGGCATAAACTCCGCTGCATGTCAAGATAAAATCCATTGAAAACATATAGGTACATGTATATCTAAATCTGATAGATTTAGTATCTAGTAAATACTAACGTATGCAGGGGAGCACGTGTTGGAAGCAAGCTTTTGTAAGATCTCCTAGTAAAGCAAAGCTACTCTGTCTGACTTCAGGCATGGTATCCTGCATACACTGATACAACAGTTGCATAACATTGCTATTCATCACTAGACGTTCCATGTGACCGTCCAGTCCTTCCGCTAATCCGCTAAGAAGGTCTAAAGCAACTATCATAAAGTCTTTATCAGGTGCCTCAAATTGTTCCGGACTTTGCGTGCTCGCTATATGTTGATTTAGCGTTTGTTCCACAAGTGATACGCATCGCCTGCAAACACAAAAGAATATATGCATATTACTGTGTAACACTGAAATATATAAGTTATAATAGATTGAAACATCAATATACACTGCAGATTTAGAGACCTCTATTCTAAAATCCTCTTAATAACAGTAGTTGGTCACGTATGTACATACCTGTACACAGGTTCACAATAGGGTAAGAAACCTGAGCGCAACGCGGTCGCTATTGAAGAAAGACATTCCAGCAATGGGAACAGATCTTTATCTTCATCTTTTAATACGTTCCACTTATTAATGAGAGGCGGCATCAAGAGATTAATGTAATCTGGTCTATTTAGATGATGACCTACAGAATCAGCGAGAGTGCCAATGGCATCGTACAGAATTAAAAGATTCTTATGCTGATATTTACCTAAGAATAAATAATCATATTAATCAGAGATATAAGTATTTTGTAGAATTCTAGAACGAGGTAAACTAATCGCTCTTGATGTTCTACTCACTGAATGCGAAGACGAGCGTTTCGAGAATAAATCCAAGATAAGGAACCAATTCGGTACACGCTTCTTCCTCCAAAGTCGCAAAGGCGGAACATGCCGCCTCTTGAACACGTTTGTTGCTGTCAAGCACTCTTTTGAGCAGTTCCGTCATCAGAGGTTTCAAATGCGTCTCGTGAGGTTGCGCACAAACCCAGTGCGCGTAACGGCTCAACGTCCAGCAAGTTATGGCACGTACAAGAGCCTTTTTGTCACTCAGACAACCGATCAAATAAGGGATAAGCTCCGACAGATGTGGAATCATGCCGCTCATACAACCTGCAAATATAAATTAAATCTTACTCTTACGTTTCTCAGTCAGATTGATTGTTAATACATATAGTATCAATTTATCAATTTATTAATAAATACATTTTAATTTATAATAAACTTTAAGAAAAAAATGTACGCACCTTCGGCGATGGCTCCTAATGCCAAGATACCAGATTCTTTGATCTCCCAAGACTGATGGAAAAGAGTCTCTTTCAAAATCGGTACCAAAACTGGTAGAAGCTCTTCCCTAAAAACATTAGCCAACATATCTAACGCAGCGGCAGAGCACTTCCTTAAGTTCCAATCGCTGAGAGTTGAATCGTCATCGCAACCATCTTCAATGTCTATATCCTCATCGTCACATCCACCGTTTACACCTCCGTTCTCATCAGCGTGCTTGTTCATGCCGTTAGCGTGATGCGAGTGATGCGTCTTGGATTTGTGAAAACGTGGTCGGATATCCTCCTCCCTGTCTGGGATCATTTCATCCTCCTCCACATCTCCTTTGAGAAGGATTATGTCAATTTCCGAATATTTCATACCTTTCACCTGTGATGAAAAATGTTAACAGTCAATTAAGTTGAAGAAATGATACTTGGCCATAAATTTAGAAGAAACCTTACCAAGATAGGTACTAATCGCGTCAGGTGTGGTGCAAGTGCCTCTTTGCAAATTGGTTGTTCAGCTAGTGATAACCAAAACTCACAAGCCTCCAATGCCACTCCCTCGTCAACATCCTGAGTTCTCATTAACATATATTCTATTATATTGTGCATATGTGGTATTAGTCTGTCCATTCGTACTTCGAGCAGCATTACCAGTGCCCTACACAAAAACATGACAGATAAAAAAGATATAGGTATCCATTTTAGCGTAACAAAATCTTGGTAAAAGAAATCCTCTGCAATATATTACACATAACTACCTGCATACGTTTTTTCGGACCTCAGAATCATCGTCTGAAGCTAAATGGAAGAGATTCTCCAAAAAGCTGTCTATATGTATCATAAGCGCTTGCGTGCGTTGAATGATGAACTGATTGACGCATGCTATCGCGTGGGATCTGATCTTGGGACTCGAATGTCTAAAGAATTGAAGGAACTTTGGAATCAGAATGTTCAAGGGTCGATTTAGAGCATCCGAATCTAATATCTCTGCCGAATCCTCGCAAATCTTCTGGAGAGCGCCAAATGCACCCTCGCAAACATTGTAATCTTGTGAGTCCAACATTTGCCACAACGCTGGTAACAATTCTGGCCAAGTTGTTAATTCACCTATACTCGTGGAAATATATTTCAATCGTCAATAAGATTTAATACGCATGCTACCTTGCTACATTTTGTAGCAATGCAATGGAAGATGACATACCTCTTGATGCGACAGTAGTGATCAAAATACCGACAGTCGCACGAATCAGCGGTGATGGATCTCCGACAGCTGACAGACATTCTTGCTTAATGAAATTTATGACCTCTGGTACAAATTTATGGAAGTACGTCTTTACATTGTTTTTCAATATCAGACCACTCAGAGACCTAGTGGGTTCATCTTAACAGAAAAAAAAGATTGTTAGTTTTAATTTAACGCTACAAAAATTTTGATGTAAAATCTGCATGAATAAAAGATTCTGGGATAGCTGAATTGGAAAGTCGTATAATTTAATGTTGACATACCTTCTGATGTCAATTTCGTTAGAACAAAAATCAGATAGTTGTTGAAATCTGGGAATTTGTTCAATTCTTCCAATTTCTATTCAAAGAATTCTAGTTAAGAAAAATGTAACACAAGATGACTTACTAATGAAAATAAGTAACAAGATATGTACACAAATAAATCTACTCTTTAAATACTTCAGAGTAAAATATCATGAGTAAAATTTTAACCAGTCTCCACAAAGAGTGGCACAACATTTAATTCTTAAGTGCAAGATTAATTCTAAAAGTTTTAGAGAGTACATTTTACGAGGCCACGATTCGTTTCCCCGAAGAGATAACACAGTCGTAAACGCGCATAAATGTAAACTCGTCATCGATATAGCGCGCGATCGCCCTGTGATTCGATACGGCAGTAATAGGCTCTATAGGCGCGGGCGGTTCGTTTACGCTTACACGATATGCCCGGCAACAGAAGGGCTCCCGCGAAAACTATCGATCAGAAGAGTCGCGCGCTGGGAAAACAAGTCCTCGCGCGCGCGCGCGCGAGCGTGCCGGGATCTCCGCGCGATTCCACTCAACACAATTTCGTTCAGCTCGGCCGGGGCATGTATGGTTAGCATGTATTTCCATCTCTCTCCCTCCCTCTCTCCCTCCTTTCTCTCTCTCTCTCTCTCTCTCTCTCTCTCTCTCTCTCTCTCTCTCTCTCTGCAGCGCTTGAGACGCGTCAGGCACATTCGATTCTCCAAACGGCGCAGCGACTCCCGGACGGCGACGGAGCTGAACGCTCGAGAAACGAGCAAGCGATTGTTCGCGACGCTATCGCGAGCGAGCGAGCGAGCGAGAGAGAGAGAGGAAAGGAGCACGCGCGCGCGCGCGTGCTGTCTCCTTCTTGCTCTTTCTCTTGGGCGATCTCGCGACATGGAGATCACGTTCGCGCGTAATTAATTTCCCTGGACCGCGTTTTCGGACAGGGTTCCGAATGGCCACGGGCCCGAGAAAACGGATGCAACGACGGAGCGGACGAGCGGGTGGCGTGGGTCACGCGCACCGCCGCGTCCCTTTTCTCCACTCGCGCTTCACTCCGCGGGGGCCACGTATGGGCGATGATACGCTACAACACGATACGGTACGGTAACACCACACCACACGACACGACACGGCCGATGACGGCTCCACGTATGGGCGATGATACGCTACAACACGATACGGTACGGTAACACCACACCACACGACACGGCCGATGACGGCGACGGGCACGAGACACGCGGATCGTGGATCTCGGACGTCAGACGAAAGGATACTTGTTGTACGGCCCGCTGAGTCGCCGTGTCCGGGCTCTGCGACTCCTTCAGCAGCGTCAAAATTTGCCTGAGTCCTTCCTCCTGCGGTTGCCACGCCATTTTCATCGTGTTTTTCAACAGCACCACTGTAACGCGCAGCCTGCCTTCTCTGACCTCGCAGATAAACGGAAGCTTCCTACAGCGCTCTCTTTCTCTCCCACCCTCTTGCCTCCGCCGCGCCGCGGTCAGCCAACCCCCTCTGCAAACTGCTGAGCTCGGCCAGGACCGTGATCGTGCGAGGGGGCGCCACGCCCTTCTTCGAGTCCGATTGCCAGCCTATGCCGCGGCAGGAACGGGCGGGAAGGGAGAAACTAGCGTTTCCGTTTCATAACCGCCCGTTTATCGGCCCCTTTTTTTCCCCTCTGCTCCGCTCGCGTCTCGTTCAGGAAAACTCAATGAAACCGGATCGTGGTCCGGTTCGCGAAACTAGAATCCCCGTTGCGGCTATCCCACTGGAGAACATCCCACGTGGGAACGCCGATCGCAAAAGCGTCAGACCAACGTCCCGAGACGAGAAGATTTTGAAATTCGAGTCCCCAACCAGTCCAGGTTTCCGGTGTCGCGCGAATCGACGCGGGAAAACACGCCTTGCGCAACAATTGGCGACAATGGATATTCCCGCGATCGATGCAAGGTTCGTCCTTACGCGTTCGCGCGGAAACGCGCGTGGAAAATCGATCAACCAACAACAGACATCAGTCATACCGGAATGACGATTGAATATTCTCAGATAACTTTGATCAAATTCCAATTTATTCAGTCAGCGATTAATTCGACCGGTTGAATTGTTGACTGTAAAATGTTCTAGTTCTAATTCGCTATTTCCGATCTAATCCTCTTTTTCGTATTTTATTCGGTATTGAAGGAAAAATTCTGTAGTATTTTATTATCTTAAAATTGTATATTATACATTTTAAAAGTCAGCGATTGCACCATTAGATACAGCAAAGTTTCAGCTTTAAGAATCTGAATTTTTTAATTGTGATACGATAATTTTTTACGAAGTTATAAACAATTAAAATCAAAATGTTTTCCTTTACTTAACACGCGAATAACTCAGGAATCAAAAATCATAGAACATTTTTTAAAAACAAATTTTTAAGAAAAACTAAGCTTTTACGTTAAATAATCGAAATTTTCACGAATTCTTTTTTGGTACATGACAGATTCACAAAGAAAAAAATTCCCTTTTTAGCTTGTAGTTTTCTATATGTAAAAAATTATCAATTTCACATAAATTAAAAATTTTTGTCCTTTACCTTGTTTTAATTATTATTCTAAAAAATTTACAAAACCTTTTGAAAGTAGAAATTTCTAGCTTTAAAACCTTTTCTGGGGAGAATTTAAATTTTGTTCATTTTTGACGAAGATATTGTATTATATGTATAGTTTTCACCAAAAACGCAGAACTTTTCCTCCAACCCACAATATTAAATAACTATTATTTTGTATCTATTACATATTAAAATAAAAATAATATAGAACCTGTATTTAATTGAATCAGTCATCAACTAACTTAATAACTGGTTCAGTAGAGAATTGCTTATTACAAAACGTCCAACTATGTAGCAAGTCATCTTTTAATCTCTGTTTCCACACAATATTAAACTACAAAAGTTAATCCTATTCACGATTGTTAAGTACCGCTTGAAAAGTTGATTAAACTACTCGGTGCTCGATCACAATTGGTCTCCGGGTGAATAAAACTGAATTGTCGAGTGAAACGCAATTTTTATTTAGAAATTTTAAATATACGGCTAGCGCATACGGAAAAATGATAAAAAATGCGGTGATAATCGCATTTTTCACATTGGCAAGGGTTGGACCCATCGCCAACGACCCTAAATAATTACGAAGCGAAAACGATACGCATACGCAATCTTAAAATAAAAAAAAAAGAATTGAGAACTCTCTCTTACTTGAATATCTTATAAACAAGTATCTATGTATACAATGTGTGTTAACTACCGCGGCGTTTTAATCGCTAAATCCTTACAAAGGTCGGCGAAAGCAATCATTCACGGTATCGCACACTTAAAACTTAGTAATTAACTAATTATAATTAAATGATCTTACTATCCCTTACAATTTGTACTGTCGCGTTATTGCGAATATTATGACTCACACTCAACTTTGGGGTAACTTTTCAAGTGTCAGTCTTGCACGGTGACGCTGCCAAATCTGTTATTTACATGCAAACACAGGCAAACTCTATCTCTTTCTTTTTCACTCTCGAGATTCGTTACGAAGTTAAGATTTTCTGTCTATTCTTTTTAGCCTTCCAACTTTTAATCGATTTCTCACGTTATTAAAGAGACTGCGTTGTACGAAATTGCTTTTTTTTTTCTTTCCAAATGCATTACTCGGATAACTGCTACAGCAAGGCCATATAATGAAGACATTTGTATTGTACATATAAGCATAATTGTGGAACACTATCGAGTCGACACCCGCGAGTTTTCCTGCTTGACCCGATCAATCGTGCAATCTTCTTAAATAGTATAAATTATTGAATGTATATATACAACGTTCAACGCGTTTAAAATGGTGACAAAAACGGCTTCCATTTATCTCGTATGTATTAAATATCGGCATGTATGTATTAAGTATTTCGAGATCGTTTCGTTGAAAATCTATTACAAAAGAGCATTAAATAATCCATCTATTAACAGTTATAGTTACAGGTGCTGCGGCAAATAATGCCATTTGTTACGTTTATCATTAACGATAATTGAAGGCACGTATTGAAGAAGAATTGTAGCGTGTTGGAGAAGAAAAGTTCCTTTTCTTCTCCAAGACATTCGTAAAATATGATCGTTCTTGCTACTATTTGAATGATCTTACTGCTCGAATATCTTGTGAAAAGTAACCTTGACGCAATTAATTTCTAAGCTGGTCTTCCGTGAACGCGAAATCTGTATAAACACGTGTAGTCTAGTTGCCCGTGATTGCTGTGTATCCTCAATTCTATATATTCGTATGGTTTATTGATTTCTGTGTTCTGCGTAAAAAAAAAGTCAAGGATTAATGTGTATAGTTCTCTAATAAATCTAATTAATAAAATAACATGTAGAAAAATGAAACACAAATAGGTCAAGTTATATGTATGTAAAAGAGAAGTAAATTTATTAAATAATTTTAAAAATAAATTTACCTGAACTGGAAAATATTGCAAACTTTCATCGGAATACATGAATTCGTACTCCCCAAACTTCACTGGCTCAAGATCATTCTCATTCAGTAATCCCTGCACAGCAACAAGAGAATTAGAAAAATATCATGTTGAATACACGAAAGAGAAATTAAGAAGTTCACATACCCAAACGTTGAATTTTCTGGGCGCACTGGACATGTTCTCATTCGGTAAGATTAATTTGGATACATGCTCCAGAGTGAAACCAGTTACATAAATAAAATTTCGCAATTGTATCAGGAGATATCCGGGAAAATCTTGGAAGGCCCAACAAACGCCAGGTTGTATCGGATTTCCCTGTATTACCGTCCGCGGATTATTGCTTTCGTAATACAACGTAAAACCGAACAAACTGAAGGCTCTCGATCTTATGTCGTATCGCTGAGTGCATCGAGTGCTAATAATCTGACCACCTATATAATCAATGAACAAAGTTATTTATTATAATATTCATCAGTTTTTTAACAATTATTGACACGACACAATACCTGCAGTTTCCAAAGCATAATCCACTTGACCAGTTTTATCAGCGTCATAAATTCGCAAAACTTCCTTTACTATTTTGCGTATATGCTCATCCGAAGCAGGAACATTTGCATTGTCAACGTTAACGACTTCGTGAGCTATAAAAATATTTATAATATATTCTCTTCTATTAATTAATATATGACGTGACATACATCCAAATAGATTTTAAATATATCTTCAAACCTTCTCTGTTATGAGATGCAAGTAAACTCTGCAAGTTTTTTCCGAGATCTTCTTTCGAAATTCCGGAAGGAAAGTAGCTAAGCAAAATTTTTTCTACGTGCTTTTCCATATTCTGATTTATAATGGATTCTGCGTTGACGTTACAACAAGATTTTAATTGTGAGTATAATTCGCGTAATTCTTCAAATTCATTCTTAATTAATTTGATTTCGTTATGTGCTACATTTCTTAATTCGCTGACATTCATTTTATTTTCCACATCAACAATTTTGTCCTAAAAAGATAATTATTGTACAACTCAAGATCTTTATAATTATTAATTCGTATAATAATGTATAATGAGCGCGAACGTCTGACATAGCAGACCATTACTAGTCTATCACGCCAGAGGTTCCGAGTTTGATGCAGGTAGAATAGACAGACGCATCAAATGGTATAAATGTAAACTAAAATATTTATCCTCATGTCTCCTCTCAAAAAAGGCAGATAAGCTTCCGAGAGAGCATCCTTGCCCACAGAAATATCTCTCGAAAAATTCACCGTTCGGAATAGGCATTAAAACTGTAGGTCCCATATGCTTGTAGCAATTAAATAATCAGTGAGGGCACAAGCATGTGTGTAGTGTGGTGTGTGTGTGTGTGTGTGTGTGTGTGTGTGTGTGTGTGTGTGTGTG